GGATCATAAAATAGTCTTATTGAGCTTTAATGGATCTTAATGGATTTTATTGAACTTTAATGGATTTATTGGAATTTATTGGGCTTTAATAGATCTCAGTAGATTTTAATGGATCTATAGACTTAATTCGGGTTTATTGAATCATAATGGGTTCTATATATAGTTAATAAGATTTGTTCATTCTTGATTCCGGTTTCATGCAAAGTGAAGTGGAGCCGAACATAAATAAATCAACGTTGTCTAGTTTATGGATCATATTTACTTAGTCGATTAGTGGTGATTTTTAGTTTTAATCTTTTTGTAGTCAAATTATTTGTTTTTCTTTTCTCATGAACTAAGGTTCAAATATCTACGAGCCTATAAAGCCCATTGGAACCGATTCCATATGATGAAGGGATGCTTCTAGACTCGAGCCTTCGGCAAGAAGATCGAGGTTTTGTGACTTGACGAGCCATGAGCCAAACTCGATCCTATATGTTTCTACTAAGCAAAGTCAAGTCTTTGAGCAAGCAAAACCGAAACTTAACCTAGAGATACACAAAGGAACGGGCTTTTAGAAACTGGACTTCTTCAAGAAGGGATTTTTTGGGCTGGCCCGAGTTGGGCTTCGGGTTTAGACTTCTTTGTGCATCTATAGCCTAAACTACATTCTTGCTCACATCCTTGCTCAATATATAAATGAACAAATAAATATCAAAAAATGAACTCAAAACGAATTGCAAACCATTCATGGTTCATCGTCCTTGAAATAATAGCAAAAACCATACGCATGGCGATCTTGTATTCAAAATTATCCGATACCTATTTAACAATAATTATTATATCATTTACCATCTTATTAAACGGAAATTTTTGTTAAATGTTAAAATTAAAGTTTAATTTATCATTGTTATCTTTACACAACTTTTTGACTTTAGAAAATCCATACATTGTTAATGTTATAATTTAACCCCCAAGTTTTCAAACATTACAAAGATCGTCCTTGTAATTTACAAAATCTCTAGTTCTCGTTATTCGACTTTCAAAAGTTGACAAGACACCATGGGAAACGAGCACCAAGAAAATGCATGTCACTTGCATCTTGGAACGTGTAAAAAAAGAACCCAAAAAAATTGGAAAGTATTTAAGGACCGTTTACTAAACGCTTATCCGGGTAAACGCTTATCCGGGTAACATTACTTCACCGGATGAATATAGTAAGCACCAATAATCAATCTTATCCGGTAAGAGCTAGACAAGGATCAAGAGTCTTACCCGATAAGTGAGGGCGACGACTCTTACCACGGTAAGCGCTTACCGGGTAAATTGTTTTTGTATACTATGTCGTTTTGATGGACTAAAATCTTACCCGGTAAGTACATAATAGTGTGAAATTTTATCGGGTAAGTGTTTGATAAACGAAACGGCCCCTTACTCATCAATTTGAATTTTAATTGGTTAAAACTGATCCATAAATCAAGCCATTTTAACTGAAAATCAGGTTTCATCGATCATTGAATGAAGCAGTGATCATATGATTCTAAATGCACACCTCCTCCCTGTTATTTTCCTCTTATACATCACCAACATCTAACTTATCGTTTTTTCCATTCCCAATGTTCCGAATTGGTCCAAAATAAGCAACACCTAGAGAGGGCCAGAGACGGCCCGGCCGGGGGACCGCAAGGGACCGAAACCAAGATTGATTGGGACCGGTGGATATTGGTTATAGCGCCATGGTCCATAAACGATTTCTGGAAAAATGATGCCCGGCCCAGTACCGGTCATTGAATTAGAACCGGGACCGATTATGCATAGGAAACAATTTTTCATGTAATTGTTAATATTTTAAAGATGTTCACAAATTGTAATACAAAGTTTTTCAAGTTTATTTAAAAGTGTATAATAATGCTCAATTTCAAAAAAATGGTAATTATAACCACTTCTATAACATGTTTTGTAGATGAGATTATTTAAAAGTTGATTCTTTAAGAAAACAGGTCCGAACTTGCCGAGCCTAAGATCGATCATAATATTTTTAGTCGGGACCGGCAGGCCCGGTTACAATCGGATTTCTTCAGCCGATGACCCATTTAGGACTGGCTTTTGGCATCTATAGTAACACCAAGGGGATGTTTACCTAAATGCTTACCCGGTAAGTGTTTACCGTTAGAAGTCAACGTTCTAATTTACTTTACTGGGTAAGGTTGTAGTACATCAAAACGTATTCTATGCAACAATTTTCCTGGTAAGCACTTATTCGGGTAAGAGTCGTCACACCCTCATTTGGTCCTTGCCATGTTCATCCAGTGCTTACCGGGTAAGCGTTTAGTAAACAGCTCTAATTGGACTGGGAATTTTTAAATCTATCTCAGGCCCAACCCAAGATCCACCTCTGACTTCAAACCTTTGTGCATCTCTGAAATTGTATGTTGAGAAAACATAATTTATCATCTCTTGATCCCTCCAATTGGAATGCCAAGATCACAATCCATGTAATTGAATGTTAGGTGCGTTTATCGTAAGTGCTTACTGGGTCATTTTACCTTATCGGATGAACATGACAAGGATTTAGAATCTTACCCAGTAAGAAAATGATGACAATGACCGAGAACTTTACCTGATAAGTGAGAGTGACAAGCTTACCGGATAAAAATGTTGCATACAATGTAGCTTAATAGGTTAAAATCTTACCTAATAAGTTAAATGAAAGTGTTGAATCTTACCGGTAAGTGTTTACCGAAATGGCCCTTTAAGGGGGTGTTTGAGATTGCTTATTTAAAGTGCTTATTGACTTATTCCGATGTGTTACGGGTAATAAGCATTTTTTAGTGTTTGGATGTAGGAAAAAGATAATGCTTATACCGGTGTCAAACCGGTAATATGGAGTTTTTGATAAGTTACTCCCTTCTAACTTATCAAAAACAACTTATCAGATTTGGAAACCAAATTATTTTTTTAAACCCTAAACCATCTCTCCTACGAACCATCGTTCCTATTCATCGGCGCCCCATTCCTTTCTCCGGCTACATCGGCGTGACCCTCTATTATTAATGGAAGAAATGTCCTTTTTAGTCGTTTTTATGTATAAGCAAAATTTGTCAAATACTAAAAAACAATTTAACAACCTATTACGTTTTGATACCGCCATAAGCTAATCCAAACACTTTTTATAAAACTCCGGTTTGACACCATGTAAGTTGGTAAACACTTTAAAAAAAAACATAAGTTGTTTTAAATAAGCAATCTCCAAACACCCGTTAAGGTCAGATTGTACCGGTGAATGATTCAACCCTGCGCTGCAAACAAAGGGAGTTTCTTTATCGCATAGTTTGAACTTGAACTTTACCGAGTTCAAATGAGCGTTCTTACAGTCAACTTTTTTTTATCCAACTTGTTTTATTACAGATATTTCGAGCTCTCAAATTGATAATAATTATGATGGATATTTTTCGGGCTTTTGAGTTCTCGAAATCTATACTATATTATAAAGCATTTGACAAAAACTCTTAAACACCGTTTTTTATGCATGAAGTACTATTTATTGATGCATATTACCTAAAACTCAAGATTACAAGTAAATTGTGCGTAAATACACCTTATTAAAGCTTCATGTTTGAATTCGTGTATCTAATTGTGGATAAATATAATCAAATAGAATATAAGCATCTCATTTTAAAATATAAAAATTTTAAAATATAATCAGAAAAATTATTGAGTTCTAACAAAATAATTAATTATTATCTTTACAAAAAATTATATTATTAAACCAAAAATAAATTAATTCATTCTTAAATTTTAATTAAAATTTTAATAAAAATTTGAATCAAATAAAATTCCATAAAAACGAGAACTTATAGTTAATTTAATACTAATATCAATTATTTTTTTTAAACTATGATATCTTCAAATTTATATTTCATTAAAAAATAAAAACATTTACTTTTTCTCAGAACCACATAACATCATAATATTGATAGACCTAAAATATAAAACGAAACATTAAAATCAAGATGTATCATGTTGCATTATGCGAGTAGTAGAGCTCAAATCTACATCAAGAAGACTCATTGAACAATCGAACACGTTTACATTAGCCTAATGCCGTTGAGTCGAGTTAAACTCGCTCAACTCGTTTAGAAGTGATGGGTGGGTTATGATGCTTCTTAAAGGCATGAATATGATGCCATTGTTCATGCACATCTACTCGTCATTTAAAGCATCCACTACTGCAAACTGAAAGTAAATGCATACCTCCTACTCCTGGAAAAAGTGGCAGTTGAAGACAGCACATAGCAGCTTTCCTCTTCTGGTATGTTGGCCCAATCAACCCATATCTGTCAAAATAAGTGGTCCACATTTCTATTTTAGGGATCATTTTAAGCTTATTCGGTAACTGCTTACCTACTGGGTCATTTACCTTACCAGATGAACATGGCAAGACCGAGATCATTATCCGTAAGAGCTGACAAGGATGCAGAGTCTTACTCGGTAAGAATAAATTATTGCATATGATATCATTTTGATAAACTACAATCTTACCTAGTAAAATAAGGTAGAGTATTCTCTCTTACCAGTAAGTACTTCCTGGATAAGTGTTTGGACAAACGATCCCTTAGTCTGACCCAAAATAGTGTCCACTTACAAAATAAATGCTTACTTTTTGATTCTGACCTTAATCATTTGATGAAAAAATTCATTACCATCTCTATTGTTAAGGGTAAAATTGTGTTTTAGTTGATTAACAAGTGTAACAAGACGCGCACGGGAAAGGATATGCGTCTGCCACAAGGATCTTCAACGGGTTCGAAAGTCTTTTGATTCCAGGCGGCCGGCCCAATTCTATGGAATTCGCTATAAGTCAAGCTTGTCGACTATCAAAGTAATAATTACACATTTCTTTGTCATTGTGGACATTATTTGGGACGGAAAAAAATTAAACAAGTATATCCCACTCGAAAGTAGGGTTCGGGAGTTGGAATGTACACAGATCTGACGGGGAAGAGCCGTTGTTAAACTAACACCACAACAAAGGACTTTTGCCTTTCTTTATATAGAAATCTGGATCTTTCAACAACTCAATTGTCAAATAAACCTTAGAAAGGGGGTGGATCAGACCACCTTCTCTTGACTTCGGTTTTTGATCGAACCTCCTTCAGTTTCCCATCGGTTCCATAATCCCGTTCCATAACAAGATTGATTCCTTCATCGGAGTACCACCCAACACCAATACACAAGATTCCATCCTTGCTGACATCAACGTAACCCGTAACACCTCCAGGCAACCAAAGCATTGTGACATCTACCATGTCTAACACCTCTTCCTCACCAAAGTAGGCTGCACTCTCTGGCAAACTTCTCTTCTTTAAGGTCTCGGTGCAAAGGTAAACATATGGAGGGTCGTCGTCGTTTTCCTTTGGGTTCGTCTCCTCGCCATAGATTGGTGTGGCACTTGTCTCGAATACCTTCCATGATCCAGTTAATTCCGAAGGTTGAACTCTTTTCCGTTGAGAAAATGGCTTCACGTCAAAGTCCACGTCACTGTTTGCATTTGGAAAACAACAAAAGAAAATTAGTGGTAATACCAATTATCTCATGTGGATTACTTGAGCACCGAGGTAGGAGAGGTCTATTCGGTATATGAACAAAAACTTGTTGTCCCACATTTGGCATAACATTAAACTGGGACAGGATAAGACAGGACTGAGTGCAACAAAAAATGCACATTTTGTGTCCATCAAAATAGGTGGAATAAAATAAGGGAGAAGAGACAAGATTGGTAATTTTCTAGACTACCCATGTCAATTTAAAACCTTCCACCTTTCATCCGTCTAACTCACTCTCGCCCGTCCAATCCGGTCCAGTCTCGTTCGTGTACCAAACGCACCCCAATGAGCAGGACAGAACAACGATACATGGAACAAGGTGGAACAAACCCATATTTTACCAATATAGCCTCAAAATAGAACATAATTCTCTTCTAAAACATCAAATACACACCCTCTTTACATTTTATTCATTCTTTAAATTTAATTCATTGTATTTTCTCTCTTTAAACTTCCACTTTGATGTCCTCAAAATACTACTTTTATAAGGTTTCGATATTTTGATTAATTGGAAACTACGTAAACTTTTTATTTCGGTTTCTTTTTAATCATCTTGACGAAAACTTTGAAATGATATATTTTGTTATAAAAAATATTTATTTAATTATAATTTAATAAATTACATAAATTAATCAAAATATATATAATATATAAACAACTCGTTAGGGATACAATTATCATTTTATCTGTTCTGTCCTATCCAAATCTGTCTAACCAAACATGAGTTGTTTTGTGTAGTCCTGTCTTGTCTTGTCTGGATACCAAACGCACCCAAGAGAACTAAAAGATGAAATAAAGTGAAAAGATGGGTTGTATGTATGCTATAAGGCCGGTACAATCAATAGATATGTCAATTCATGAGTCGAATCAATAATGAATAATCACTATACATGTTTCATGAATCATAGATTGGCTTCAACCTCCTCTAGAGCAACTTACAAATGTATAAAGAGAAATCATACTAGATAAGCCAAAAACAACACAAAGACAAAGTAAGAAATTGATACAAGGGTGCTTCAAACAGGAATCTGATTTACTAATCATATTTGCATCACAAATAAAATAATCACAAAAATTTAATTGCTTTTAGTGTATAATTTTGATAATCATGACCAAATATACTTCTCATAAGTGACCTGTTCTTATGCTCCCATTCACGATAAAATTGTCCATAGCCTAGAACCTAAACTCAGGTAGCAAGAATAGATCATTTGAAAGAAAAGAACAAGTCCGGCCCTCTTTACGAGTGTTAACATAGACAATAACAGAACGAAAAAAGTTTGATTTGCGGGATTTGGAATTGAATTCCATTCCAATCCTGTGTTTGGTTTGAAAAAAAAGTTTGGATTTAAATTCCCACAACCGATGGATTTAGAAATCCCTTGGAGATGGCAGTCATTTCATTCCAATTCCAAGGGATTTCAATTGTTTCCGTAACATCTCTACCCAGCCTCTTTTCATCAAATCTGCCCTAGTCTCTCCATCGCCTCCAAACAAGCAAATTATTTATAAAACAAACAAATATTTACAAAACATCAAATTCCATCCTAAATCCTACAAACCAAACAGACTAAAGATTCTCCTTCCACGAAAACCAAATCCCTCAAAAACATGCCATTAAAACAAGCAGGCTCTTAACAGTTCTAATGCTATAGTGGAAAGTAATTCATCATATACTCACTATCTTACTATTATGCTAGATAATTATAGATCAATTTCTATTGCTTATATCACCCCCAACACCTCCTTATTTTCAATATCGACAAACATTAGTAGCCACAGGCCCACAGCCACCAGTTAAGATGAACTGCATCTAGGATTGCATGCACTACAAAAATATCTGTAAAGACGTATCAACTTTAGCAATGTAAAGTAGGTGAAGTTAATAATACCTCTTGTCAGGGAGATTAGCAGTACTGACCCATTGCTCTTCGTATACAGCAACCCTCATGATCTGGATATCTGAACCCCCATCACTGAATTCTATGGTATGAACAATGCGCAGTCTCTTGTGGCAACCTTTAACCAAACACTAAGCAATGGGAACAGTCAGACATAGAGCTACATCTAGACAATCGATAAAAAGAAACAGCTTTTTTATGCCTATTCCCATACATGGTAAATGCTAACCTACCCTCATCCCCCAATACTATATGCAAACACCATATATTGGAACTGTAAATAATTTAAGTGGTTCAGATCTCCTTTAACTGATATATAATACCAAAAACACGTAATCAAGGATTGGTAAAGGATGTAAAAGAGAGCACATTGGTGCCAGTTAGCAGCAATCTTTTAGAGGACCTAGAAGTGATCAGCCACGACATCATCTCACGATTCACAGTTACCAGCAACCTTACTGACTAGTTAGCTGTCCATGCAGGCACGAGTATGGTTATTGCTTTAGACACCAAATTTCCGATGCTTTGACCAGTTTGGAATGATAACAATAAGCCTCCCAAAAAGTAACAAAAACCTTATTGTTTTCCAACTCGGATAAGCAGTTGTAGAGACGATATACAATTCAGTTGAGACAGTTATGAAAAATAAGATTAGAATAGCAGATGATGAAGGTATAGCTGATGATCGAACTTTAGAGAAAATATTGGTCCTTGATCATTCTCTTGAGTAGCAACCAAGTGAACTTGAGTTGTTGATCTTAATCGTCAATCTTCTCCATTTTTATTATAATCAGCCATATACATAAAGCACATATATAGTGTAATATAAAACTAATGAAAAATGTTTTGTACGTAGTAGTATTAAAGAACCTTTTTAACTATATAATACAAACACCAAAAGAAACCAACAAACAAGAAATAAAATCTATAATTATCCAAACACTAACAAAACAATAACAAAAAGGGAAGATGAAAAACAATGTTAAAAATCACTTCCAAATATTTAACCGAAAGAACATATACAAATTAAACACATTAAAGACGATTATAACCATATTTATAGGTAATGGAAAACCCTATACTTTAATTATAATTCATAGATAAGGATTTGAAGTACATGATCTATATATTTTCTCATGCAATTTTTCTTCTAGACAATTTTCACACGATTCATTTATCAAGTTCAAACTCCAAATTTGATGGGAAAAATCAACATCGTCATGAAAATGTAGATAGACAAGTATTTGAAATATGATGATGAAATTATATATCAATATTGTGGAGATGGAACAACTTTGTTGCCATAATACCATATTATTCATCATTTTTAAGAGACACAACACCTTTTTGGTGTTGGCTTTGCCACTACTTTATACTTTCCACATCTTTGAAGAAATACTGAAGTGGTGTTAAGTTGGAAAAGGTGACAAACAAAGTTAATAACAGAGCTAGACACACCTCATTAAAGAGGCAAATGTCCACACACATACAACGGAACATGGATCAATTTTTATGAATATAAAACTTGAAGGAACCTAAAAGCCTAATGGTCTCTTGCATTGCTTACAGTCTAGGGCAGATTGCCCTCAAACTTAATGCATTTAGTCCACCTCCTTCATCGGGATGCCATATGTTTGTCAGAATTATACTGCAACCCGGAGTATGCTTCTTAAATAATTTTAGTTAACTAAACAACATGCTCTTCAGTTTTTATTTGCCTACGCATAAATTAGGAAGCACCGTATGTCCTATTAGATATCTTGGAAGAAGGATGCTTCCACTCTTGTCGAATCCATGTTGGGTGCTTTTGTGGTGTGGTGTGTGCATGGTATGAGTTATCGACCATGTCCCCGAACACATAAGGATGGGATTAGGATAGGATGATACAAAATAAGACTTCAGACTTAGGTGTGTGCTTATTTTTATATACCAAATATGCATTTTGTTCTATAATCTATGTGACATATACCATGCAGGTCAGACGCAAGGCTGTCCATTATTTTTCTATTCCCTATGTTATCTGCATTCAAAAGTTGAGAATTCAATTATGGTTTTTACAAATTAAATGAATGAACTGTGAAGATAATTTTTCTTCTATTGGTTTACTTTTAAAACTATGTGATCATATAAAATCCACACATATAGAAGCAACACCCCCACCCCTAATTTCTGATTTTCCAAAATTGGCAAATCCCACCATCCACATACAATACACCTGCATTCCTACATTTGTATCGTTGCAGCAAAGTTATGTATTGGTTGTAAAAGGCAGAATCTCCATTTAGTTGGTGGACCATTATAAGAGGAAAAAAATACATATTTTGTGAACATCTTCAGACCAAGTACAATGCATATAGAGCAGAGTAAACCATAAGATCACTAATATATCCCACAGGAGAAAGCCAACAAAAGAACTTACTTGCTCAAACTTGAATGTTGGTGATAGGTAGTAGTTGGATTCAGTAACTTCTCCAACAGGTATGTCAACTGGACCCCTTGAGTAAGACCCATCCTACATAACAGCAATTCTGGTCACTGTTAGTGAACACGATAAAGCAGAAAATGAAGAAGTAGGTAGTATTTGGGAGTATAGAACTGAAGATTTGGACTTTGGAGTCATTATTGGTACCAAGTACTTCAACTTGCACAGATTTTGCTTTAATAAGAAGTTTGATTTCACATCCAAATCCTTTGTCAATATAGTAACAAGAATGATCTAGCAACACCATCAACTGATATGTACTAAATCAATAAGAATAAGAATAGGCTACCTTTTTGATTCAAGAGGGGCAAGGTCTCCGTTTACAAGAAAAGATTGTAATTTCAGAGAAAATATGTTGTTATTCTCATTGAAAAACAAAAGGGGTATTTATGCTTAGAGACCTAACTAGAATCCCATAATTTAAGGGATTTGATAACATACAAGGAAATTTACCAAACTAGACAAATATCTACCAAATCTATTACAAAAGGAAAAATAATCCCAAGAAATAAGGGATTATATTCACTGTATCAATTCCACACTCCCCCTCAAGTTGGTGCATATATATCATACATGCCCAACTTGTCTATAAGACGATCGAACGCCGGTCTAAATAGTCTTTTAGTTAAGATATCTGCTGTTTGCTCATTGGAAGGGATGAATGCAATGCAGATAGTCCGATTGTCCAACTTTTCCCTTATGAAATGTCGGTCCACTTCAATGTGTTTTGTCCTGTCATGTTGGACTGGATTTTGTGAGATGCTAATGGCTGCTTTATTATCACAAAACAACTTCATAGGTAGCTCAACCTTTAAACGTAAGTCAGCAAAGACCCTTTTGATCCAGATTATTTCACATGTCATCTGCCATTGATCTGAATTCAGCTTCTGCACTGCTTCTGGATACAACACTTTGTTTCTTGCTTCTCCACGTGACAAGATTTCCCCATACATAAGTACAATATCCCGATGTAGATCTTCTGCTCATGTTTGGGTCTGCCCAACTTGCATCAGTGAAGGCTCCAATGGTTCGGTTGTCTCCTTTTTTAAAGAGTAGACAACTCTTTAAATATCTAAGAATTTTGTGGGCAGCTTCTTCATGTTCTTCATAAAGACAATGCATAAATTGGCTCACTATGCTAACTGCAAAAGCAATGTCAGGTCACGTATGTGATAAGTAAATCAACCTTCCAACCAACCGTTGGTATTGATGAGTATCAACCTGCTTCCCATTAGTAATGCCATCCAACCTTTTGTTGGGGTCAATTGGAGTATATATCGGTTGGCATGCACTCATTCCAGTATCTTGTAAGAGATCCAGAACATATCTCCTTTGTGACAATACAATGCCCTTACTTGACCTTGCAACTTCCATACCTAGAAAGTATTTCATTTCTCCAAGGTCCTTTACTTCAAACTCTTTAGCAAGTCGATCMTTCATTCTTTCCATCTCCTCATGATCATTACCTGTGGCGAGTATGTCATCTACATAAACTATTAAGGTTGTAATTTTACCTTTGGAGGAAAATCGAGTGAATAGAGTATGATCAGATTGAGCCTGTTTGTATCCGTGACTTTTGACTACTTGAGTGAAGCATGCAAACCATGCCCTTGGGGATTGCTTGAGCCCATACAAAGCTTTCTCTAATTTGCACACTTTTGTGCCAAAGTTACTTTCAAACCCAGGTGGTGGCAACATAGAAACTTCTTCTTCTAATTTGCCATTCAAGAAGGCATTTTTCACATCAAATTGCTTAATTGGCCAATCAAGATTTGCTGCTATTGAAAGTAGAATCCTTATGGTATTTAACTTTGCAACTGGAGCAAATGTTTTTGTATAATCAATGCCATAGGTTTGTGTGAAACCTTTGGCTACTAGCCTTGCTATATTTCTTTCAAGGGCTCCATCAACATTAAATTTTGGAGTAAATACCCACTTACTTCTTATTCTTCTCAAGAGCACTCAATTCCTCTAGAACAGCCTTTTTCCACTCTGGACCTTTAAGGGCTTCCTGTATAGTGTTAGGAATTTGAACTTTGGACACATTTGAAGTGAAAGCAGAGTACTTTGGTCAGAGTTTTGAGCAAGACATGTAATTGGACGTAGATATTTAACACATGTACGTTTTTCTTCTCTCAAGGCTATTTATTGGAACACTCAGGTCACATGACTTACCAAGAGATGGTTCCTTCCTCGGTTCGGAATCAGGAGCTGAGATTGTGTTGAACTCTTTGTTCGGAGGGAATCTTCGCTCATAAACTTTTCCGAACTGTTCTTTTTTTCTTTTTCACTACAATCCTCTTGGGTAACTTGTTGAGGTTCAAATGGTACTTTAGTTTCTTCAGGAGGAATATTATGTTCACTTTCTCGATCTAGTGGTAATCCTATTGGAACATCTACATATTCCTCTTGTTCAAAGATTGGACAATCTTTGGGATTTGAGTCAAATGCAGATGGCTCAAATGTAGTTGGAAATACTAGATCCGAAAAATTGAAGTCTTCTTTTATTAACATCCATGGTAACCAACATTCTTCCCGTGTTTGGATGAAAACATTTAAATCCCTTTTTATGTGGTGCGATTCCTACAAAAACACATTTGAGGGCTTTGTGGTCTAATTTGCCAAGGTTGATATTGGTGTTCTTAATAAACACAGTACAACCAAAAACTTTTAAAGGCATGGAACAAAATAATCGTGACTTTGGAAAAGAACTTTCTAAAACATATATGGGCGTTTGAAACTTTAAAGCTTTAGACGACATTCGGTTCATTAAATATGTAGCATGCAGAAGAGCATCTCCCCATAAATATTTTGGTATTTCAGTTGAAAATAGTAAAGCCCGGGTGATTTCAAGCAGATGCCTGTTTTTTCTTTCGGCTATGTCGTTTTATGGTGGAGTATGTACGCATGAGCTTTGTTGAACTATGCCTTGAGCATCCAAAAAATTCCCTAGAGTTTTAGTAAAATATTCCCTACCATTGTCACTTCTAAGAATTTGAATCTTAGTGCCATACTAAGTTAGAATCATGTTATAGAATTTTTTGAAAACATGTTCAACTTCTGATTTGTCTTTAAGCAAATAGACCCGACAAACCCTTGTATGATCATCTATGAAGGTAATAAACCATCTATTCCCATGACACGTAGTGACCTTAGAAGGACCCCATATGTCACTATGTATCAA